AGTCTTAAGGCTTATCACCCATGCTCACTTTTTTGTGAGCAATGCTACACTGCACTGTGACTTAAAACTGGACACTCTAGAAGAGCACCTGAATAAGATCAACAGGAAATTCTTCACGAAAGCTCTGAACTGTGACCATATGAGAAATTTTGATATCTTTACCTACGAAATATTGAATGAGGACGCCAAACTGCGCCCACTTGCGGCCCACCTTATCAGGGACCCGAACTTTCCCACCTAGTGCCCACCTGTAAATGAATGTACCCAATGTGTTTATTAGCATTCTTAATTTTGTATTTTACTCATTTATTGTACTGTGTATTTCTTAAATTCTCTAGTTTTATTCACATTCTACACTCATTTTATGACTCCCACTTAGTCACGCCTTTACCGGGCCGGTTACTTGCTTGTGAGCTCTTGCGTTGCTGGTCTTCCTATTCTTTATCCGTCTTTCTCCTCCTTACTGCGGACATTATGTGAAGATAGTTCTATGTTATTGTGCCCATCTGGCATAAATTTGATTGAGCCAGATAAACTACTGATCTCAGTGGTATTCTGGCTATAAGATATCAGTCAGTCAGTCGCTTGTATTTTCAGTACCACTCTCTTCCACTTCTGCTCCTGTGACACTTGAAAGCATAACTCAAGCTTCGATGCTTTATCGAATCGCCATCGAACCAATTCTCGATGTTTCCCCGATCGACATTTTCGAAGAATTTTCCATGTTCAATTTTATGGCATACAACATCAGTTATTGCCTTCACTTCTTCCCAATTAGATACACTTTCAATTTCTATATTAGGAAGAAACTTCATAATCGTACTAGCGTTATTGATTTTACTTTCAACCAATTTTTGCTACTCCGCATATGGCATTCAATACAGTTAACTTTTTCCAGAACTGCATAAAACAATCATCATCTTCTTCAGTAACAGTTAAGAGATGACCAGAAGGCTAAAGTCGTTTTGCTGATGATCATCGTCTGAATTAAACTGGTAACATATGGCGACGAATTAAACTGGTAACATAAGCCAACATTAGACCGTAAGTTGTTTTTAACACACTCTCGCGCATAGTGTTGTGTGTCACACATTGGATGAGTTTCTAAGAGAAACTGGCTCTAATACACGTTAAACATGAGGAAAATCACGAACGAAAACGTGAATCCAGCTAGCCTGTTCACCTGGAATCGAATCCATGACGGAACTACCAGTGTTCAGCGATTTTACCACTCGGCCGCTGGTGAGCCCACATTGTATTTTGTAGGCGCTGATTATTTTTGAAAACGTTTTAATACATAAATCAGTCTAAGTCTTTTCGAATGCTAACATATTAATAACTAAGAAAAAAAAAAAGTCTCTGAATGCTGTAAAACCATTTTGAAAACTGAAAATAGCCATCACTGTTAGATATAACTGTTAGTCATCTGTAAAATCACGACCTCCACAGGTGACTAAAATAATCCGGAATAATCTTAAGGAAAGTTAATTGTAGTTCATTCGCAGAATTATTCAAAATTTCGTTCTATTCTTTATCAAATGACTATACTTCAACATTTCATAAAAAATGGTTTTAAGCAATTTAAACTTAAGGAGTAAAATTTAATTACATTACCCGTTTGTCGATTAGTTTTGCTTTAATTCAATTCTTATTAAGAAGTCTTTCCTTTACACTTTTCCTACGAGGCATTCAAAAATCCATCTATTAAATCATGAGTTTTCGCGTATGATGTACTTTCTCCTTCGATTTGTTTATGCTTTTGTGAATAACAAAAGATCGATTTATATTATATTTGAATTTAATCACAACCTCTGCTTAAATCTAAAACTAATTAAAAGAAGAATCTTCGCATTTTATTAAAATTAAAATCAATAATTTATTATTTGAAAAAAATCAGAACAAATAATTTTATAATTCATTCTGAATTAATTAGTAATGCATCTCACAAAATCACTCTATTAAAAGTATACTCTACCCTGTTGATAGATGTTTGATATATACGAAAGAGAATCAAAACAAACCACTCAGCTAGAACATTTCACAGTGAAATCAAAGTTAGAAAACTACTGTCCTCAACGAGCTTATCCTATTTCTCCCTGATGTAATAAAAGGTAGATTAATGTAGCAAAGAAAGCCAGAGATTTCTTCTTTGTCATATAAAGCCCAATTGCCGAAGATTATCTTCTGAAAGAAATTGGATCATATTTAAGCAACATGAGAAGAAAATGGCAAATATTTCCTAGCACTTTATTTCTTTCGCTAAGTAAAGAAAAGGACAAAGTATTCGTATTTGTGGATTTAATTCTAAACCTGGCCATGTTGACTGAAACAGTAAATAGATACTAGAAATCATGATTTCAAAGGAAACAGATTTTAGATGCATGAGGATATTTGTAATACTGGCATTTCAAATACTAACAAATAACTAAAAAAAATCTGAAAGGTTTCAGATTTTAAATTACGTCCAAAGGGGCGTTTCTTTAGCGTTTTGTGCGTTACCTTTATTTATTAAATATCATGTTCTTCCAACTTAAACCATAAAATTCAGTTCAACAGCAATATCGCAAAATAACTTTAAAATGAGCATATCTTTAGAATTTCCGATACACAATTCAGCGCGCTGGAGATAAAAATTTTTTCCCCCGTAGAGTGTTACCATTGCTCGCTTTTAAATCGTTGTTTGTTAAGCAAAAATTCGTTAAAGTTTTACAAAATCTGAAATAGATAATAAAACAAATTCCAAATTTGGCTTGATCTAAAAGCAATTATTTTTTCACATAGTTGGAGGAAAAAGGTTAATTTTCTTTTTCTAATTTCATTTACAGTTTCATATCACGAATAATAAGAGCATGGGACGCCCTTCATAAATTTATAAAAATACCTCATTATACTTTTGACAATGTAGTTATTCGATTTCATTATTTAAAAGCCCACGCATCCGTCACATAAAATGATTGACAGCCGCTCAACCGGTATAGTGGTTTGTGACCTTGAAAACCATAGTGATGGGCCCGGGTTTCGAATCCAGGAGAAGGCATGGCTGTAACTGTCCATCCCCCTTCAGTGGGAACAATGGTGGCCACCTATTTAGATGCTTCCATAATGAAATGGCCACCCTTGGAGGTAGGAAGTAAAATACTAGGAGTCCACCACAAGGGCCGATAGTGGTGGCCACATGGAGGTAAGAAGTTCAATTCAATAAAGCGTATGTTCATTAAAAAAAAAATAAATAAAATGGTTGGTGAATTTTGTAAAGACAAATTACTTAATTTCTTGTTTCCATTAACTTACATAGTAAATTATTTTTCTACTCTTAGTTTAATAATTATTTTTAAGAGTTTAAATAAAAGCTTATTTTATAAAAGAAAATTAATTTTTTAAAACTTTTGTATTTTTATTCTAAGTGATACGTTATAAATTAAATACTAAATTAAAAAATCATTTTCAATAATAATTCATAAATACTTTACTTTCAACAATTCAGTTACGTCAAATGGTCACAAAAATCAGAAATTAAATTTAAAATCTCATATAAGCTTCATCTAAAATATTTTCTTCCTATTTATTCCATGGTGTAAGGAGTTCATTTTCGAGAGTTTTTTCCTTCTCTAAACCAAGATATGTACAAAAAATTGTTTAAACATTAATTTTAAAACAAAACCCAAATTTTGAACAGATTGCTTCAAGGTTTTTTGATGAGATCACGGACTGTGCGATGCGAACATCACACAATGTACATTGGTGTCCAAAAGTTAAGCATAAATCGTAAAATGTGGAAAAACGTTAGTAAATATTAATTAAATTGTTCAAAATCTCTTGTAGAGAATAACTGTTTGAAGGTGAAAAACTGCGCGTATCAAAATATTTCAGTGGCACTCGAAAACCCAGGATTCATTACCAATAATGACATGTTCCAGAAAATGAGGACCATTTTCAACCCGCTCCAAAAAAGTCAAAGCACTTTTCTCTCCTGTTGTTTTTTAATCCTGCAGAGATTTTCCGGAAAATTTTGGCACAAAGTTTTATCTCCAAGTCATTTAATCAAAATCTGATGAATGGTGGTGCGATTTAAATTAAACTCTTCTCCAATTATTCTGAATATTGCAAAATTTTCATCAGTTCTTGTAGATGGAGCAAGGTTCGATTTCAACGATTTCTTTCCTTCTGAAAATACCTTCAACCATCCGAAAATTCGGACCCTTGATAAAAAAATAGCCTCCACAAGTCTGCTGAAGCTTTGCAAACATTTCTGGTGCACTGTGGTCAAGTCTGAAGGAAAATTTCATAGCATAACGTTGCTGAAATCGATGTCACCCATTTTCAGAATACACTAGGAAAAAACGGCTAAAGATAAAGTAATCCTACGGAAAACTGCGTGACATTATGGAATTCAAGCTCGTATAGGATGTGCATCGAATGCTCTCTCATCCTTCTCTCCAAACAGGAAGAGAAGAATTAAGAGTTTTGCCAGATCGAAAACTATGCTTCCAGTTCCATTGTTTTATTTACACACCTCATACATTACTGTTCGTATTTCAATACTTTCAGATGGCTTTTGAGTTAAACTCCACACACCAAAGTATGTTCGGACGACCTTCGATACAGTGACATAACAAATTTACGAATCAATTCGAATTCAAATATATTTCCCACTTGTTAAAAATATAACAACAATCTTGAAATATCATGCAAATATATTCTTTTAAAATCTGAACCCATTTAGAAAGTAATCAGTTTTAAACATACTAAATTGTACATAATTTCGAAGGGAATTCATGAGAAATTGTAAATGTCTATCATTAAGTACTTATTTCATACACTACAAATATATAAATTATACAATTTGTATATTGTATAAATATTACAATTTCGTATGTGGAAAAGACAAATACATAATGTTCGTTCACCTGTAATTCACCTGTCGTAATTTATTTTTAATAAATTATTAAGTATTTATCAGGTGTAATCAGGTGTATCAGGTGTTAAGTAAAACTCCTATCGAACATATGAGAGCACTTTTAATAAGGTGAACAAACATGGCTTTGCTTTCGGTCTGCTTTGCATTTCAACTGTCTCAGTCTGGCAGCGTCCCACACATTTCTTTCAGGCTGACACAGAAAAAAATGTGTTTTCGGATGATCGTTTATTTTAGTCTCGATTCGCTTAGTTTTCTTTTCGTATGACCACATTTTGAAATGTTGACCCTGTGATTATTTATGCTCAGCAGTCGGTAGAACAACAGATTTGGCGTTTTATCTCTGCCCAGAAAACAGCAGCAGTAAAGAACATCAAAAATTGTTTATGCAAACAATTGAAACTCTTAAGGATTTGGCTCGAGTATCGGTTTTTGAAGCACTTCATTCTAAAACAAACATATTTCATTCAATCACAATAGCGAAACATTTTTCAAGGCAGCAAGACATTTTAACAATTAAATAAAAAAAAAAAAAACTAAGACATATAACATACAAGCAAAATGAAACTTTCATTATGAAAATATATTACATAACTTAATAATTACTTCAAATATTGAAACATTAGTACATTTCCATATTTTATTTTGTTTTTACTGAATTATTTCTTAGATATCCTATAACAGCAGATGCTGCAATACACTTACAAAATTCTTAACCTGGGGCAAGCGGACTTCAGGATGAACGAGAAAAAATTATCAGTAATGGTGAAAAAGAGCAGAGTTATAAAATAAACGCTGATAAAAATTAAAAATATTCACAAAAATAAAATTTGGCACTGATCAGAAAGAAAATCAACTCGACTCATTCCGAAGTCAATATTACTATCCGAAATATGTTTAAAAGTAATGTAATAAACTGGTTTCCTCCCACACATAGCTAGTCCCTCACACATAGTACTCAATTGCGGATGCATCTTATAGCCATTTCCTTCTTTTTATGTCACACCGTATCGTATACAGTGACCGTAATTTCAGCATGTGGTGAATAATCAAATCAGAGCTCTCCTTTTTTTTTAAATTTCGATATGCAAGCCAGTTAGAGTGTAAAGCTTTGCTTTAAATCCATGTTTTTCTAAGTTACAAATTATAAAATGCTGTTTACATAAAAGTGTATGAATAATTAAGAAGCAGATCGTTGCGCAGGACAGAAACTACTTGCAAGTAGTTCCGATCTGGCATCTGCGCCAAGCATGTTTGGGGAAACCACCCATTCGAAATGAGCTTGAAAATTCGCAATGATTAATGACGTCAAGACTTGCAAAACTATCCAATACTTTTCCACAATTAAATTAATTGTATTCAGAATTACTGACCAGTTCCATAGGCACTTTCAAAGCGTCTGACAAAACTGATTCTATGCTCAAAGTATTCAAAAAATTATTTTTATGGGAATCAGTCATTGAAAAGAAAAAGAGATTGAAATATTGGAGATAATTCTAAATTTTTGTCAAGAAAATTAGCTTCAATCTATGCAGACGAAGCCGAAAAGAGCATACTGGCCACACGAATTGAGGAGGAGAACTGGGTTTAAAATCCTATCAACGAAAATTCCTTTAAAAAAGCTTCAAAGTTAATATTCTCTTAAAAAGAACAACTTGTGACTTCACTCATGCAAGAAAGCCCCAACTGTGCGATTTCGAAGGACTTGTCATTTATACAACTGCTCTAGGCAGCCGTGTCCCACTTTTGGAAAATGGTCTCTCATGCTAATTAACAATATCGCATCGACGCTTCCTAAAATCAACACATTCACTACTCAAAAAGTGGACATCATGCTTATTCGATCATTATATATATATATAATTTAACAAACATTCTCTACTCATAAAAAGCAAATTTAAAGTTAATTAAATTTTAAATGAAATTGAATTACAAATAAATGATTAATTATTGCTGCGAACTAATCTACAATATCATTTAAATTCTGAGAGCATACGCAAATCAAATGCAAGTATCAAAATCCATGAATATATAATAAATGTAAAACATATAATTCCAATAAATTTTTTAATCCTAAAAATTGATAAAAATCAGTGAATAATTGTTGAGCAGGCAGAGGACAGACTTATCAAGGGGAAATTGCCTCCAAACGAACTCTGCAATTATTCAATTCGTGTTTCGTCATCCCTGTACGCAAGGGTAAAGGAAAATTCAAAACCAAATGTTATAAATATATATATGTGTGTATATATTTATATATTTAATTAAGAAAACAAACCCAAAACTCCTCGTGTTCCATGAAGTATTCCACGAAGCTTACAGATGTAAGTAAATAACTGAACTTACAAGCAGATACAATTCAACAACAACAAAAAAACATAATATCTAGGTCTGCAGAAAGCAAAGAAAAAATATAAAATACAAATAATATAAATTATAAAATAAAAATACTAAAATATACCATGAATAATTAAACTATCTTAATACTCCTATCAAAGAAAATAAATCAACTTAATAGTAATACAATAATAATAAAAATGAAATAATACTTCAAAATAATACTGATACAAAGGAAATATGATACATCAAAACATAAAGTAACCGTGCATAGAGAATACGCAGACTAATACAGTGATACATAAAATATTAAAATACAATCATATAAATAATAATACTTTAAGTTCAAACGACAAATAAAATCGCGCAAGACTGCAAAGGCTTCGGAGCTCCTAACAAGATCATAGAAAACAGGAGGCCAGCCAATGGAGAGCTGCCCTAAACTCACGTAAATGTACTTCTGCGATCATTATATTAACGGCAGAATTTATTTTTCAAAAATGCGTCAAACGAAAGAGATAAACCTGATATGGGGAACAAGAAATAAATTTTAATTTGCAGTTTTCAGTAATAAAGAAACTGGACAATCACAAATTGTTTCAGATCGGTGGTTCTGAAACAATCACTGTTTAGAAATCGTAAGTTGGTGGAAATAAATACGTTTTGTTCACTCTTACAAAAATAGACTGCTATAATATTTTTAATAACTTATTTATAACAAAAAACATAATGATAATTATCCAATGAATGGTAAGGTAAGCTGTGTCACGCATTTTAAGTAAAATATTTTAGATGGGTGGAACTGTTATCAGTCATTCGCTCGAATCGAGGGCTTGGAGTGTGGCCCTCGATTAAATAAGTGGGAGTTAAAGGTAAGATCGCACTGGCGAAAATACTAGAACTCACCATCGTTAGGGAGCAATAGGAAAAAAATGTAACAACATTTTAAAAACGTATAAAATATTTGTCAAGCATGCTATATATATTTATATATTTGAGAACCTAAAACTAACAGAATTAAGAAAATAATCCAGTTTATTTTTTAAATTAAACATAAGACTTTAATATACATTTTTTACTGCAAATAGTTTTCGGGCTTTCTTCAAAAACGTAGCAGACTGAAACTTTTAAAGCAACGAAATTAATATTTTTTTATTTTTTAAATCTAGGTATTACTACTGATTAATTGATAAACTCCAATATTTATTTTTAAAACAATGAAATTACCTTTTTTCTTTTCTTTCTTTTAACCCTCTTTTTTTTTAAGCATCACCAAAAAATCAAAAGAGACCAGTAAATTCCCTCAACTTTTTTCCAAGGAAACAGAAAATTTTTAAGTGCATACCTAAAAAACAACTGAAATTCTTAATACATTTAATTTTATGGCAAACAGATAACATTTTATCTACGTATCAATATGCTGTACTCTGGTACTGGGTTCTGGTTCTGGTTCAAATCTCGGAGAATGGATGGATTTCATGGCCTTATCCTCTATGTAATGTTAATACTAGCCAGTTTCTCCTAGAAAGTCCTTCACAAAGGCATGTCCTTCCTTAGACAGATAACCTTCGAGCGCTTAATCGTAACATATATATTCACTTAGTTCGAAAACAAGTTTTATATTAACTTGAAAGTAAAATGTTAATAATGTTTTAACGGGGATTGGAATTAAATCATCATGAAGAACAAAATTTCAATTGTAAAAGGAAAAATTAAATTAAATAATGTAATCATTGTCATTAATCGGAAATTAGTTGACTTTTTAAGGGGAACAAACCAACTCCCGTTCAACGAACAATAATTAATAAATAAATATATAAATACGAAAGTGTTTCGTCTTTACTCGAGTAATAAGGTTAAGCCAAACCGGCAATTCTAGTCAGGCCAAATATTTCCGCGAATAGAAGGGATTATGAACCAATGCTGATACTCAAAGAACTTATTCCTAAGAAGCATTTTAGCCAATTCAATTTTGAGTGAAAAGCAATTTCTGTAGGGAATTCCGAAAAAACTGGAGTAACCGAGCGCAGAATTAATATTTTTCTAAGTGGTAAACTTATTAAGGAGAAAGCAGGAAACAATATAAAATTTTTCTGTTTTTTCAAAAAAAGTCAAAATTGGAACAGAAGTAAATTAATGTAACAAAATTCGCAGAGTATTGAATAATAAATAATAGTTGAAGAGTCTTTGATCTGTTGATTTTGTCAGTTCTTTAACCTAAGTGAGGAGAGATAGTTAAAAAGCAAATTAAGTACAGGAGAACCAAACATGGAATCATGCTTTTGAAAGAGGGAATTCGTTGAGGAAATAAAGTAAATGTCCGTTAAGGCTATAGTTCTTGACGTGATTCGGTTTCGGTTCATTTGATTATGGCAAAGTACATTAGGTCTACCTGCTTAAGGGCAGGGATGCCTTCGCGGAGAACTTTCTAAGGGAAACTGTGTCGTATACGCGCTACGTATGAGAAAAACCATATCTCGTGATTTGAAACTAGAAATACAGAAAATTTCGATTTTTTTATATATATATTTCAGAAAATTAGTCACTTGTAAAATCGATTTGGTATAATGTACAAGACTCCAAAATACGCGGAAGATAAAAGTCAAATCAGAAAACCACTAAAAGGGCAAGAAGACCTTAACTTCGCGAACGTGAAGTTGGTAAATTAAATTTCGATTGAGCAGGAAATGGGAAAAAAACACTAATTAAAAAATAGGTAAAAATAATAGTAAACGAAAATTAGAACTAGCTTATCTCATAATTCATAAACGATCAATATTACAACTGACATCGTGTGTTGTGATGACGTCAGTTACAAGATAAATTTTACATTCTAACATCAGCTTCAATTTCATACAACGAAATTTACAAGGTGAGTCGTATTCGCATCACACAAGGGAAAAAATAACACTTCATGTACTGACCAGGAATCAAATCAAGAGCAAGCCACTTCAATTCGTCATAGCTTCAGCTCTTTTGGCAAATGGTAGCAGATACATGCACAGATCTATTAACAACCGTAAAAGAATTATCCATTTGAAAGCCAGACATTATTTGCAAGGTATACATTAAAACAGTGATGTTAAATAGATCTATCATCAACCGTAAAA